AAATGGTCCTGTAGCGTTTACGGCGACCAAAATCTAAATTCTCAAGTTCAAGGGCGTGTCGCTCCAAAACGCGGTTAACGAGGTGTTTGGGACTATTTTACTGATCGAAATGACAACCCAAAGTTGACTGTTTGCACGAATCTTTATTCTTGAAAGGCAATCGACCACGAACCACAATCAATGACGAAAATAACGATTATTCTGACAGTCAATCAATCTATCGAACGATCGATCGTAAACTGAAACAACAATACAACGAAGTTCTATCAATCTAACGAAAAGCCGCGGAATACATGATCAAAGAATCGCATGTTAAATACTGGGCTCTAAAGTCTATAACGAGATTAACAATACAAGTGAAACAGAACAAAAGTTTGGAAACAAATTAAAAGAGTTTTGATGACTGATAAACAGCCCATTGTTCTATCTAAATGATGGGCGTTCACTGACTCGCAAATTGGCACGAATTTGGCCTTTAAATCTTAAATCTATACAGATCATTGCAATATTTGTTTGTATATTGTCGCCCAACACTGAAAAGACTGGAGAGGGAAAAACAAAGTTACAAAGGTACTCACATATCGGTCCCGCTTGTGCCAGAGGTTGAGAAAACGAAAGGGCGAAAGTTTACCAAGGCTATTTAAAACTTACGACGAACTGATTAAAGGGACGCTAAAATTGCCTTTTATATGAGCGTGGTGACGCTGAAAGGTCCGATTACAAAACCAATAGAAATACAGAAAAACAGATAAGCATTGTAACTATGTGGCTATCTAAGATCATTCTGAAATGAGTCAATAATCCGAAATGAGTCAATAATCAATCAAAAAATGAGCCTTCTGGCTAATGTCCTTAACACTGTCATTACAACGTTTGTTCATGCGCAGACGTTTGATTGTTGTGTTGTGTTAGACCCATCTAAGACCTCATGCTCGCTCGTTCCGCTCGCCGAATCTCTCTGCTCGTACGGCGGTGCTAATGGTAGCTTACTGGTAGGCCGTATTTGTTTAACTAACTATTCAAAGTTTTGACAAGTCTAAAAAAGTCTTTTTATATTAAACAGGGCTCTTTAGACGCCAAAGCAGAGGAAGTTTTTAATCTGGTTGTTAGGCATCCTGAGGATGCACAGAAATGGGGAGGAAACATAACGGATTCCTTTGTAAGTCAGTAGCGGTAAAACAGCACGGAACAAGTCTCGCCCATGTAGAGTTCTTGGCGGCGGCTGGTTTTGTGAATAGATTTCACTTGATGATTGAATCTTCATCGTTCTCCTTTCTCGTTTGTTTGGTTGTCGAATATAATCCTTTGGTTTCCCTCACTTTGCTCTGTAATTGGTCCAGAAAACTTGCATTACAGTCTCAACCAATCAGATGCACGCTGAGACAAGTCATGAATTGGTCGCCTGCGTTTTCCCGCGCTTTAGGCAGTGTGTTTGTTTTTATTCTGAGTTCTCATTGGCTCTTAAAGGGGTATTCCTTTTTTCTGATTGGCTGTTGTGTTTATTTTGGTCTTGGTTTCACGAAACTCAAACGAGAAGCGTTGTACCCTCCGGTATTTCCAGATCAAAAGTCTGGGCCGGAAGAATTCGGATATGCGCGTGTGTCTGTGTGTGTATCTGCTTTTTTTGTTTGTTTGTTTTTCTGTTGTTTTTTTCTTTTACAGCTTTATCAAGTGCTTATTTACTCAGTAAGATGTCTGTATGGTGGCTGTCTTGACGTATTTTGCCCTGCCAACAAATTTCGTTACCGCTTGGAAGAATTTTCGTGGTTGGGCAAGATTGATTTTCCCATAGCCCTGAGCCTGGAGAGTTAAAACAATGGCTTTGAACAAAAATTTGTAAAAAGAAATGCGTGTAAGCCACATTGTGAGATCCGGATACTTTAAACGTCCAAAGTATGTTCTCTAATCATCATATTTATTTCAGGTCGTACGTCAAATTGATGAAAATACAGATATTGTTTATAATTCCGTTGGTGAGGCCGGCGGTGGAGTGGTGTCTAGTCGGTGAGTGCGCATTGTCAGTGTCCACTTTGATTAGAAATGAAAAATTCTGTGTCACTGACGAGAAACGTTTGGTGTTTCAGGGATTTTGTGAATTTGCGTCGATGGGAAAAACGAGGAGATGTCTTTGTTTCATGTAACGTTGCAGTTGAATGCGATGAGATGCCACCTAAAAAGGAGCACGTAAGGTAAGCTTGAAATTCTATTTCTATTTCATAAAAGGCTCATGGAAAACACGATCTTTTGGCTGATTTGAAATGCCGTTGCTCTAAAAATTTGTGAGGCGCGGTGGCCTCATGGTTTGTGCGCTCGACTCCGGACCGAGTGGTGCTGGTTCGAGCCCCGGCCGGGGACATTGTGTTGTGTTCTCGGGCAAGACACTTTACTTTCACAGTGCCTCTCTTCTTCCAGGTATTTAAATGGGTATTGGCGAATTTAGTGCTGGCGGTAACCCTTCGATGAACCAGCATCCCATCCAGGGGGGAGTAGAAATACTCCCAGTCGCTTCATGACATGGAAACCGGAGTTAAGCGCCGGCTTGATGGGTCACTTGGCTCGTAAACAGACTTTACTTTTTTCCTTTCCTCTAAAAATTGGCGTTAATTCTGAAGAAACCTTTACATAACAATTTACCAGAGTGGGTGGGTTCTGAAGTTGCAGGAAGTATACAAAAAGGAATAGTTAGGAATGGCGAATAACACTTATTGTACAAAACAGACTTTAAAGTTTAGGTTGAAAGATTTTTCTTGCATTAAGAAGTCCAGGTAGAATGGTTATAGAAGAGAGCCCTTGTTTACGTTTTCAAACGATACACCCTATTTCGTGGTTCTTGCTTTTCTTAAAGCAGCCTAATTACAGTTTGAAGCTTTTCACTTGATTTTACCGCCAATCATTTCCTCGTCAGCTATCCTTGTTGTGTTTTTTGTTATCGTCGCCTCTTTCGTGTTTGTTTGTTGTCCGTAACTGTTATTTCGTTGTGTCTTTCAAGTTGGAGGTAGTTTTGTAAGTCACTAATTAAAAATTGACGTAATATTTAAAGATTTGGCTCTTTTAAGGCGAGAGGAGGCAAAATAATAATTACCGCACGTGACAAATTGGCACGCGTGTGAGAATTTCCCCAACTTTTCTCGCTTGAAACTGGTTAAGTTCTTCTCTATTTATTATCCCAGCCTTTTGTTTTGTTTAGTTTTGTTTTGATTTTGTTTCTTCAGAGCTGCAAATGGTCCCGGTGGCTGGGCTATGCAGGAAGCTGACGGGAATCCAAGTAGAACCGAGTATGTGTGGCTGTTTGACGTGGACCTGAAGGTAAAAATAGAATGGCCAGCTAGGGTTTGAGATAATGAAAGAAGGAATTATTGTGAAAGTTTGGACCTACGACGCGTTGTGGTTTCTATGGTGTTGGTTTTGGCATCCAATCGAAATGAGGGTTTAGTAGTATTTTTAGAGCGCGTTACCACTGGTGATGCAACGTATATATGAAGTTCATATATTATGAACTGCGGTATTAGATACGTACGACGCACGATCCTCGCAGTAGAGAGCGCTATTTATGCAATAGCGAAAATCAGACCTGAAAAAAANCACGAAACCCGACAAAGGGTCTGGTGTTGTGGTTCTAGACAAAACCGAATACTTGCGATTACTTTCTGAAGCCTCAGTCAATGATACAAGCAAGTTCCGTGCCGTTCCCCTGGAGAAACCCAAGACCAGGGGCAGACCATCCAAATATTACCACCCCCTACTACAAAAAGAGAAGATCCTAGATTCCATTGTTCGTAGAATTCTACCGAAGACCATTGCAGATTCCGTGAGCCCTACAGGTTCCAGATTGGCACATTTATATGGGTTGCCAAAAACCCACAAAGAACCATTGGCTATGAGGCCTATATTATCAGCCACCGACACGTACAACTTTCCCCTTGCTAAATGGCTCGACGAGAAATTGAAGCCCTTGTCCCTTAATCAGTATACAGTTACTGATAATTTTGATTTCACAAAAGAGATTCACGAGCTGAAGATCAACAAGGGTGAAATCTTGGTTTCGTATGATGTCTCCTCGTTATTCACAAACGTGCCTTTGGACGAAACAATAGAGATCTTGGTTAACAGAGCCTTTTCGAACAATTGGTTCAATACTACCCACAATCTTGCCCTTACCAGAACAGATCTTATTGACCTCCTAAACGTAGCCACCAAAGGCCAACTATTTCAATTTAACGGAGCTCTATACGAACAGACAGATGGCGTTGCTATGGGGTCCCCTCTCGGGCCCTTATTAGCAAACGTCTTCATGTCATCCATCGAAGATACCCTTGAGCGACAAAGAAAACTCCCATCCTATTATCGTCGATATGTTGATGATACACTCACTGTAATGCCTGATCTAGCAACAGCAACTACCTTCTTGCATACCCTCAACAGCGCCCACACTTCGGTCAAATTCACCATGGAGGTGGAGAAGAACAGCAAGCTTCCTTTCCTTGGCACCGAACTACTCAACCATGCACCTCGGATTGAAACCAAGGTATATGTGAAACCAACAAACACGGGCCTACTATTACACTACCAAAGCCATGTAGACAATCGCTACAAACGGAGCTTGCTGAAAACTATGCTGGATCGCGCACACCGATTATCTTCCTCCTGGGCCCATTTCTCTGATGAGTGTGATCGCCTAAAGAAAGTTTTCGCACGGCTTAAATACCCGGAACGCCTGGTAAATTCTACCATTAACACCTTCTTACAATCAAGAATTGTTGGTACGCAGCCCACACAGACGCCCAAAGAACCAATATCCATTGTTCGTGTGGTCATACCTTTCAAAGATCAGGAATCAGCAAATTATGTTAAGAAAGAGCTCAAGAATCTTAGCATGAAGGTGCAGACAACTGTCCAGCCAGTATTTGTTAGCCGCAAAGTTGGCCAAGATCTTAAAGTACGAGAAATCAAGCCACAGATTGTCAACCAACAACGCGTCGTTTATCAATTTCAATGTGACCTGTGTGATGCGGGTTATGTGGGCTATACACGCGGACACTTACACACACGCGTGGATGGACATAAACGAAAGGCATCTTCAATATATAAACACTACCACGAACGGCACAGCGAAGTCCCGAAAGACCTACTGAAACGTTTTAGCATTCTGAAAAAGTGTAGTAACAAGTGCGATTGTTTGGTGAACGAAATGCTTTTCATCAGAGACCTAAAACCCACTCTGAACGTGCCAAGCGATTCAATTCGCGCAAAAGTATTTGTTTAATTAGCTCGTAACATATTTATGCTAATTTAGTGTTACACCTTGCCACAAACTTTATTTTTTATTTCTCCTTGACAATGGCGTCACGATGACACCGAAACGTCGGGTTTTATCGTTGGTTTTTGCCAGTCGTTGGTTTTTGCCATTTCTAAATCTTTATTGATATAAATGAATGATAACTGTTTTTTTGAATCTTGTTTTACTCACCAGGGATGGTTACCACAGTCAGTAATTGACGCCGCCATGTCCTTCATGTTGTTCCAAACGGGACAGGGACTCAAGGCCTATATCCAAGAACAACTTGGCTGATCTGAAGAGGCCAGGCGAGAAACGAACAGACACGGCGGCGTGGAAAGAGACCTGGAACTGGAGCAAACTCTCTACAAAGTGTTTCTATATCAGGAGTGGTACAATTTTACAACAAAGTTTAGCTTGGAGACATTTGATTTGATACTGTTGGGTGTGAAATACTGCGTGTGGTCATAATGAAGCCAAGTCATTTTCAATATTCAGCCGTACATTTTTTTATTGACGTGTTTTGCAATCCGTATCAAATTTCTTTGACTTCAATTATCGTAGTTCTCGTTTAAATTTGTCCTCCACTCTTATTTTGAATCACTTTTTAAATTACGAGAGTCTTCCACGGGTCAAAACGGCTGCGGAACCTCCGGTAAGGAAACGTAGGGTTTTATCAAAGTCTGATTGGTGGATTTGGTCTCAAAGTCTCACCCAGGGTGTTAAGGATGAAATACTACTATTTTAGTTCGGTAGCTTAAATTATCAGAAAAGAAACAGGTTTTTTTTTCGTCCTCGCAACTGCTGTTCACCAGTTGTTTTGAAGTGATATGTGTTTTATTGGTAGATGGAAGCAAACTATGTAATCGTGAGTTAGGTTTGTTACTTCAGATTTCAAGGGTTTGAATTTTTTTAAAGCTGGTGATTTTTAAAAAGGAGTGATTTGTGTTTTGATTTAGTTTCTGTCGCGGAGGAGGGGGTGGGTGGGTGAAGGACGAGGAGCCCACATATTTCCAATAGCCAGGAGAGAAAAACCTTACTGAGTTTTAATCATAAGGCACAATTAGGCATCAAGTACCGAGTTTTAATCATAAGGCACAATTTATTGATAAGGAGAAAGTAAGACTCTCAAGTATGCTAAGATGTTCATGACATCCTGTGTTTAAAAGGAACCAGCGCAATGAAGTTTACCTGATTCCCCGAAAGACTGTTCCCCCCTGAAAACCTCGTGACCCCCCAAAGAAAATCCTTCTCCCCTCCCCTCCCCAGACGATAAAGAATGGCTAATACTTGACAACCTGTGGTCTTATCAGGAAGTGAACGCCGAAATTAGAATTACCAAGGCTACCTGCTGGCTGAAAACCGGTAGGGGTGTTAAGTGGTATTCTGTTCATTTCAAAGATTTATTAATTTCTTTTTTTACGATTTTGTCCGTGAACTTTTTACTACCATTTGGGCAACAACTTGTTCCACATGCGCACTTGTTCCCCACCCATTTTTACTTTAACCGTTTCGCTCCCGAGATCTCATAAGTAATTCTCCTTGCTGTCTGCCATTCTATTCTTATAATGCTTCTGCGGAGAATTTGGTAGCCTGAGTAACAGACGTTTCTGGGGGAAAGGGGTAAGAGAGAAGCGAGAAAGGGAGAGCGAAAGGAAGAAACGCCTTCCTTTCTCTCCTCCCCCTCCCCTCCCCCTTTCCCCTCCCCCAATCTCCTCTCCCCTAGCCCCTTAGGAAGGCCTGACACTCAGGCTAAGAATTTGGTATTGGATCAACTAACATTCCCCTAATGGATATTTTTCTTTATTCTTATCTCTTGTCAGCTTGACATTTTATTGAATATTGTAAGGAGAAAATTTTGTCCTGGTCACCCTTGGGAGTGATGGTGAACGGGGGTCACAAAGACGTTCGCTTTTTATATCTTTTAAAAAATTTGTTATTGAAATTTTCCTGATTTTTTTAAAGCTACATTTTGTTTTCTTAGTCATTAGTATGTTTTAGATAAATCGAATTTTTTGTTGTTTTCATATAGATATATTTAATCTATTCAAATGTATATAAAATTCAAACAGAAATATATACACAACTCTGAATAGTTGTCAATTACAAGTTTTGTAAGTAAACCAATATAGAAAAAGGTAAGGATATTGTTGACTCGCTGTTCAATCGGGGCAAAAACACCAAGCACGGGAATCTGGTGCCCAAAGTTAACTGGAATTTTGCTTCATTGCAAGTTCGTCCCCCACGATTTCACCCCAAATAAACAAGAACCACTCTGAGCATTCTCCTTCGCAGCCGTTGTTTGGGCTCGTCACGCAACTCTCCCTCCCCCACCAACCGGACCCGAGCCACATTCCTTTCCCTTTGTTTAGATTTCACGGTGACTGCACGTGATAATGCGCGTTTGCACCAATCACACGTCGCCTTTGGTTTCACGATAAAACCAATCAAATTTCAATGACGTAAGTTTCCCGCGTAA